TCTGTCAGGATCCAGAGGAAGTTGATAAGCCTAAACAAAGACAGTGGCAATGTCTGGAAATGGAAAGAGTAAATGAATTTAAGAGTTATGGATATAGAGTGAGCACATCTTGGTGACAGTTGTGATAGAAAGAAATTAAAGACAATTCTTTGATTTCAGCTGTAATAGCTACTGGAATAGTGATGGAGGGTTGGGTAGGAAGCTATGAAAGAGAAATTCTGCCTAGGACATGAACTTAAAGTATGTGTTGGACATTAAGGTGAAATGAAGTCGATATTGGCTACCAGCAGTTCAGATGATTGATGGATGGATGGGGGATATACGTAGGTAGATAGGTAGACACAGATGACAGAGAGGGCTGAAGATTTGTCCAAGTATAAATGAGATTGCATAGAAGATAAAAGACAAATCCTTAAAGGCTTGAATAGTTGTGGGATGAGGGTTTGCTGAAGGAGACAGCAATAGAGTTTGGGAAAGAATGATGAAAGCTGAGAACACTTAGTGAAGAACGGTTTTACAGAAGTCTGGCAAGGAAGAATTTCAAAGGAGAGATCAAAATCTGAAAAGTCCAAGGAAAGGACATATAATGTGTTATTAAAGAGATCCCCCTTGCTTTAGTAAAATATAGGTTATTGCTGGCCTAGGTGAGAGAGGCCCTGATGAGAATTAAAGTCAACTGCAGGGTCCTGAGGCCTGAATGGGAAGTGGGGAAATGGAGACAAACCTTTTTTAAATTTTTTTTTCTAGTTGTAAATGGACACAATACCTTTGTTTATTTATTTTTATGTGGTGCTGACTGAGGCTTGAACCCAAAGCCTCATACTTGCAAGGCAAGCACTCTACTACGGAGCCACAACCCCAGCCCCCAGTAGACAAACTTGAAAAAAATATATTTTTAGTTGTAGAAGGACACAATACCTTTATTTTATTTATTTTTATGTGGTGCTGAGCATCAAACCCAGTGCCTCACACATGCAAGGCAAACATTCCTCAACTGAGATACAACCTCAGCCCCTGGAGATGAACTTTTGATTATTTCAGGCAACTTAAGTGAGAAAAACAGTTAAGGTTTTAATTTTATTCATTTAAAAGATGGGGGAGAAAATGGACTTGAGCCTTGATACAGCATAGTACCCTGGCTTTACGGGTACATCTGTATATGGTGTTGGCGTATGAAAACATCTGGTGTGAAGTGGGGCAGCAGCCCATGGATGCCAGCTCTAGAAGGTAATTAGCTAGTTGAGCCTGGAGCTGTATTCTCAGAGTACAAATCCTGTCTCAGGGTAGTTGTGTAACCATAAACTAGTCACTCAACCTTCCTACATCTATTCCCTTATCTGTCAGATGAGGATAATATTGATACCCACCTCATCAGTTGGAATGAGATAAGTTAACATCCACTGTTGTATTTTTCAGTACTGGGGATGACTTGTGCTCTACCATTGAGCTGCACACCCAGCCCCCAAACCACTATTTGAAGTGCTTGTAACAGTGCCTGACATACATGCAGACTCCTAAAAGTGACAAAGCACTTTCGTTCCCCTAGCTGGATCTCCACATACATTGCCATTTAGAATTCTGACTTACATGAGACTACATAAACATCAAGGTTTCTCTGAATTTCTACAAAGATCCTGTTTCATAATAGATTATTATCCAGACACCTGGCCACATGCTCTGTCTTATACACTCCAGAGGAGCAAGCAGTAGAACAGAGAACCCCTTCCCACCCACACCTGGCTGGCAGCAGCTCTGACTCCTCTCAAACACCCTTTTTTAAAAATATTTACTTTTAGTTGTCAGTGGACTTTTATTTTTATTTATTTATTTATATGTGGTGCTGAGAATCGAACCCAGTTCCTCACACATGCCAGGCAAGCGCGCCCATCACTGAACTATAACCCTAGACCTCACACATCCTTTTTTGAGTGACTTTCATAACCTCCCTTTCTCATTTGCTATAAAGTGATTCATAAAGAATTTACTAACAGTGAAGAAAAATCACACCTAAGTATCAGATACTCCAGAGAAAATGAGATTTAATTCTGGAAAGGAGTTATTTTGGGGGAAGGAAATAGGACTGAGAAGGGGGACATATGTAGGCTTCAACTTTTTACAAATACAATTCAGAAACAAATAAGATTACTGAGATATGCTAGAGTTCAGTGGTTATACTGTATATTATTTGATCCTCTACACTTTTCTGTTTGAACCTTTTAAAATAATTTAAAAATAAGACTATTTATGGGCTTAAGGAAGATATAACATGGATGTGATTAGAGCTCAGTGATTACTGTAAAGAAAAGGCAAGTTCATTTACATTTTTTATTTAAAAAAAATCAGATTGAAAAATTAGAAACACACCCTGGACTGCTTCAAAAAAGGATTTCTAGAAACAACTAAGACAATTATGAAGAGGTATGTTTATGTATGTCTTATATGTATGTACATATAAGTATACACATATACAAATATATAGCATGTGTATATACAGAGTGAATAGTAATGAAGAAATTCAACAAGTACACATTTCATTAAAATTTGTTAATATGTATTTATTTACATGTTGTACTTATGTTATACTATATAATAGTATAGGAAAGGATACTAATTTTCAACCTTTCAGAGTTTATTTATTGATAAAGGAAAAATACAGATTTATTTTAATAAACAAAGCACCCAATTCTTGCTTATTTTCTTTTTTTCCAAATATCTTTACTTCATTTATTTATATTTATGTGGTGCTGGGGATGGAACCCAGTGCCTCGCATGTGCTAGGCAAGTGCTCTACCGCTGAGCCAAAACCCCAGCCCATCTTGCTTATTTTCTTAGTGCCCTGTATTGATTAAGCTTATCAAAGCTATTAACAAAACTCTGGACATTAAAAATGCTAGGAGCATTGCCATAAGCATATGCCTCTACATTAATAAAACATAAATTCAGTCTAAATCCTTCATTTCACCCTTTCCCAGCATCATTTCAGCTTTCCTCCTATCCCTGCAGTCCTAGAAGTCTGGGGGCAATGACAGATCATAACTAATGCTAGGTGATACCCGTGCTCCCTAAATCCTGAGAGCCTATCCCTAAAGGAATCCACTGACTTACCCCTGAAGACATCAGTAACACCACTCTGGATCAGAGTCCTGGAAGGGAGAATATGTGGCACAAAGCCTCAACTCCTACCAAGGAGGGAGGGGTACAAATGGTCTCCATCTGCTCCCTTACTTTGTTCCTCGGGGCCCACTTTGCCTCCTTAATAGAGTCAGGAGAGCAGGGGCTGGGTGAGGACTGTTCCCAGGATGACTGCAGCCAGGGAACCAGCTGGGCACTTTCCTGCCCCCAGGTGGTGCACAGAGAACACTAGCAAGCCCAAGTATTCTAGGCCTGTGCAGATGGGACATTAAGTGCACAACCCAAGTGAGGAGAGGTGAGATGGAGAAACAGTGATTTGTGTGTTGAAGAGACTGGATGCTCTCTGTGGATCACTGATTCTGACCTTCGGAGAGTTCAAGATATAATGATGATCTCTTCAGGTTAATGGACCAGAGAGACAATGGTGGAGGTGGGGGTACAGCATGCTCCTCCCCCCACTGATAGTCTTGACCAATATTTTTTTTAATGGTAAACATAACAATAAAGAAAATGTTTACAATCAGACTAAGAAAGCCCAGAACCTTTGTGCTGTAACTTGAGTATTTTTATGATTTTTTTCATTGACTTAAAACTGACAACACAGTATCTGCTCATTTTATTGAACATTATTCCAAAAAATAGGAGCACTATAGTTATTATAATCAGGAGAGAAGCAGGGGGATTTGAAGAGTAGCAGCGTTTCTACAGGGTCCTTCCCTGGGGCCACCCCACAGTTTTCTGAATATTAGTGGTAAAGAGGCTCCTTAGGTGTGGAGCCTTAGCCTATGGCTCTCTAGACTAGAATCCTAGACTTGGTTAGGCTGAACTGTGAAAATTCCAAGAGAATTATGTTAATAGAAATTGGTCACCCTGTCCCTACAGAAAAAGCACAAGAGTCAGAGCTGGCTTACCTCCAACCAGATCCCCCCAAAGAACATGATTGAGGAACTAAAGGTTGGTGCTCAGATCCCTTCTCACTCCTGCCTTCCCTGAGCTTCTGTATCTACCACACTGGAAGCTTTTGGAGAGAAATGCCTGGAACTTCTCCATTGTCTTCCCAGCCTGGGAGGCAAAAGAACTGAATAGGTCCAAAGAAATCTCAAGGATTTCTGCCCACCACTGCCCCAGCTTTCAGATTATATTGTCACTGTATATGAAACCACCAGTGGGCAGTCTGATCCACAGTGAGAAATCTAGAGAAAAAACAGGTCACATGTGCAAAATCCTTCTTCCAGAGCCATGTGCCCATATTCTTGCCCCTTAGGGACAACTGTACTATCCATTTCCTGGGAAGATGCTATGGGCGAAATAAAAACAGGGTGGAAAGAAGGAGTTGGAATCTACATCATTTTGGAGTTAACAAGGGCCTTTGAGGAACAAATCCTTCAAATTCAATAACTTTTCAAAGTGTTTGGACCACAGTATGGGCTCAATAATATTAAATAGTGGTTAAATGAAATTGAAGTAGCAAGAAACCCAAGGCAGAGTAGCAGCTTCAGGAGAGGGAAGTGTGAGTCTGCCTGGGGAGAAGGGTATGGCTGCAGCCCTTGCTTCTGCCCACCACTCCTTCAGGCCCCATATATAAAAAACCTTGGAGGTGTGACACAGAAGTGAAGTGACCAGGCTGAGAATGGGGGTGGGAAAGGAGTGATGTAACTCATAGGCCAAGCAGAGCAGTAGAAAGACGACAGATCTCATTCCCAGCCCTCAACTTTAAGACCCTTCAAGGGGCAGGTCCTGATCCCAACCTGGCTGGGCCCTGCTGAGCTCTATTGCTCTTAAGAGGCTAGTCCTGGATGCTCCCTTACCCGAGGGCCATTCACTTTTTTTTTTCCCCTTTTCTTTTTACACAGATAATCCACATTGCATATAGAAAAATGCCACACCACTCTTTATTGAACACCAGTGCCAGCACTGGCCCCCTTCTCTCCAGGCACAGGGGCACGTGGGCAAGGGGCTCCTTCCCCCAGCCAGGATGCAGTGGAAGCCTGGCCCCACTACTGCTCTCCTAGGGCCAGCACCCTCCTTGGTGCCTGGGGCTGCTGGCTCAGGTCTACTCAAACTCCTGTTCACAGTAGCCTATGTTGAGGGGCTGGGCCTGGACACCTCGCCTGCAAGAGGACATGAAGAAATGACAAGGTGAGCCCCGTAGTCTTAGACCCCAATAACACCTCCACCACAGTCAAAAGCCTCTTTCCCCATTTCAGAAATCTCACATGGTCACCATGTACCAAAATTACTTGCAGATCTCACTTCTAGAGATTCTCTCTTGGGGTGAGACAAAGTGTTAGCAAGATCTGGTGATCTGGGAAACACCTTTTTCTAGCTTGCCTGTGTTTGTGCCTCATCCCCAGATATCTTAGTCCCTTTGGAAGACGTAGATGCTTGAGGGGTGTCCAGTGCTCTTGGTTAGTCATCCATTCTTGGTTCTATTCTAATACGCTTAAAGCAGTGATGGTGGAGACTGAGGTGCTGTCCAGCCCAGGTACTGGGCATGAACACCTGTTCTTAGGTCTTAGACTCACTAGTTTGAAGCCCTGACAATCTCTTTTAGGGGCAACATGCTTACAGTCGGCAAGGAACCTACTAACAATCATCTAGGACATCACAGACTGTTGAGCCTTAGACCCCAGGATGTTTGACTCGTAGCCCAAAAGTTGACTCTGAACTAAGCTATGTTCCCTATGTTCTAAAAACCTTGTCAATGACTAAACCAAGAAAATGACTCTCATAAGGCCCAAAGGCATGGATATCATGAGAGTTCATAAAAGCCAACCTCATTCAAATCTTGCTTTTGAGTGACTATGGGGCAAGGTACTTAACTTCTCTGTGCTATAGTTATCTTTATTTATTTATCTGTTTTATTTTTGCAGTGCTGGGGATGGAACCCAGGGCTTTGTGCATGCTACGTAAACACTTTGCCACTGAACCATACCCGCAGCCCCTTAGTCATCTATTTCTGAAATGGAGGTAAAATTTATCTACGTTGTGGGTTGTAGTAAAAATCCAGTGAGAAAAGGCGCAGTGTAAAGCACAGTGCTTGTCAAAAAGTAAGTGTTACTGTTACCATTCTGTTCTTCTCAGTAAGGGATCCCAAGCTCTGAGTTGGCCTCACCCACTTTGGGAAGGACCCACAGCCTGCTTACCTCAGCAATTCACAGCGAAAGTGTGACAAACGTTGAAAGGCAAACTTCACATCAGTCATTGAACTCTTGCTCCATAGCCTTTCAGAAACAGCCCCTGCTCTGGGCCTGAAGGAAAAAATGTATGTGGCAGATTGGCCCTGTGTTCCCTGGAAGGGTGCTGGACACCCACAGGCTACTGCCTTTTGTTCAGGCCCCAGAATAGCGCAAGACCAAAGAATGTGATAAACACCTTGTTCCAAGTGAGAGCCTGGCTGATTGGTTCCCAGGCAGTTCTGGGGCTCAGCTCCATTTTTGTTAAAATGTGGATAGTGATCTAGCCTTCCTCCTCTCCCAAAGAAATGGGAACAAGAGTAAGCCTTAAAGGCATCATTAGTTGGTACTGATAGCAGCAGCAGATGTCTTTCAAATGTAAACTCAGTACACCTACCATGCTTGGTGAGGCTACTATAGCAGAAAGAAATCTTATAGGTATCATGGACCCTTAGTATTGGAACCTGAGCAAATCACCTATGTTCTCCAGGCGTCCTTATCTCTATCTGGAAAGTGGTGATAATAATCACTACTCCACATACCTACTGGGTTGCTGGAGGGACATATGGAGCCACATGGGAAGTATTACATGCAAAACAGAATGTAATGCAATGCACCTACTCTTCTCAGGCCTAAAAGGAAGGTACTAGTGTGGAAGTGGCTGGATGGAATTGACTGTGAAAAGGAGGACCCCTGCCCTCAAGCCCAACCCTCCATATCTTCCAGAAAGCCCTTACCAGAGCCTGGGGACCAGGTTTGTACTGTCCACATACTCTCCCCACATACAGGCCTCTCCACCAATCACCAGAGCCTTCTGCTCAGGGGTACCTGAGGGGAAACCACAGTGGGCCAGTGAGAGGTGTAACTCTAGGCTTCCTTTTCCACCACTGTCCCAATGTGGCCCTCTCTGCAGACAGGTTATTTCATTTCTAGAAATGTCTAGCCCAGACCTTCCTGCCTCCCTCCTGAGTCCCAGCCCAGTCATCTTTGGTCAGCAAGGAGAGTGTCCTGCTTTCACCTTTAAAATCCAGGGGCTCCACTTTATAGAAGTCCTTCCAGTCAGGGCCATAAGTTATACGGTTTAGGTACCAGGGGGCAGAAAGTAGGGCCCGGAAGCCAGCCTTAGTGATCAGATCCAACTCCTTCATGTAGCCTACTGGTAACTCTTCTTGCCATACCTGTATAATGGTGTCTGGCCGAACCTGTTGCAAAAGGTCAAAAGGCATTAATGGTATAGAACTGAGAAGATTTCTGGGCCTCTTTCTTAGGCAAGCAACCTAGGCTAAAGGGTGTATGTGTGTACCCTCTGTTTCCCGGCAGCAAAGGATAGCTCTGTGACTCCTAACCACTGAGCTCATACCCCACTGCAGAGCTAAGGAGTCCAAGAACCCTAAGACAGCTCTCTGCTGTTCTCCTCCCCCACATGGAGATAGTAATATTGTCTGGGAGCCAAGGGAGGCAAGCAGTGGGGCTCAGGAGCCAGCATGTCCAAGAGTCTCCAGATATTTCTTGGGGTAAGACAAGGGTTGGGATTTTACTGAACAATAATGAAGGAGAAGGCACATTCATCCTTAGGGTCCAAGGATGAAGGCAGTCTGCCTCTCCCAGACCCTAGTCTCTGATTCAGGAAGGAAAATCCAACCCATCAAGTCAAGTCTCAGGAATCTCAAGTAACCAGTGATTCTAGTCTATAGTGATCCTGACATCTAAACCTGGGGCTCACACCTGTGCAGTCTTTCTAACGGGAGAAGGAGAGACGGTCAAAGTGCTTGGACCGTTTAAAACCTAGTCCAAACTGGAGGATCAGTCCCTGCAGAGGCAAGGGAGGAGTAGGGAGACCAGAGGTAGATGTCACTGGAGGCTCCTTTCCTTCTCTGCCCCTGGCTCACCTTTACTTTATTATCAAACACCTCCTGCCACACCACATAGCCCTTGCCATAAGCAGAGACGATGTCCAGCAGCCTGGGAATGAGAGAAGTGTCAAGAAAGTGTCTGCTCAGCTCAGACAGGCTCTAGGCTGTGTGTCCGTACTCTAGGACTTAAGCCTGGCCAGGGGGTCCATCCCTGACTGGAAGGTATCTTTCTTTCCCAAGGCTGGTACCCAACCACTCCAAACCTGAAAAGACAGAGCATGGTGACCCTTCAGGTGCCCATAGAGTTGTCAAGCAGGGCCCAGCCCTGATATGGAAAGTGGGGGCCCCATAAGTAGTAAGCCCCAAACACACTCCACCCTCCTTCCTTCCTCACGTCTGGATATAGAAAGACTCCAGCTGCTTGAAGTCATCACCAAAGCCCTTCTTCTTCATGAAGGCTTGGATATCTGGATTGGATCTCCTGAATCCCAAGAGAAAATAAAAAATTAATTCTTTTACCACCCCAAAAGCCTATAGCCTGGTGGTTAATGACCTGGCCTCTTACAACTATCTTTTTTCACTTAAAAGAGTCAAATCACTGAGGATCTCAAAAGTTGTAAATGAGCAAAGTGTGACCAAGCAAGCTATGTAAAGGATGAGTTTGAGTCTGAAAGAGTCTGAAATCCAAACCCCCAAAGAGAATTCACATTCATCCTTAGGGTCCAAGGCTCGGCTGGGAGCTCCAGCACACTGGATTCTGACTTCCCATCTGCTGCTGTTCCAGCAGAAGCCAAGAGTTGCTGTCTGTTACCTACTGCAAATCCTTGCCCCCTGACATCTGTTTGCTCACATTGTTCTCTTCCAAAAATATTTTCCACTCCTCATGTCCCAAAAGCCAAACTATTTCCCTGAATCCAACTTTAGTGCCTAATTCTGGATGAAGCCCTCACAGCCTCTTTTAAGCTCATTAGATCTGAGGTTTGGACTTTATGATTTAATATTAATTGTACACTGTCTATTAATCTTGAATTCTCTTTCTTGATTTTTCAATCAGACTATTTTAAGCCTATGTAAACAGGGATTATTTATCTCTATCTTGGATTCTTCCAAGATAATTCTGAGCTGGAATATTTTTTCACAAGTATCTCAAGAATCTGAAAATACAGAGGAAGAGAGGTTTGCACTGACAGCCTTGCCAAAGTCAGGTAGGGCCTCTATGGGCTGAGACAGACTGCTGTGTCCTAGAGGTTAGGCCCTAAGCAGCAGCAGCTGACCCAGGCAGCTATGCAGGGCTGACCTCTACTCTGAGTAAACAATTCATCAGGGAGGGTGGGAAGATCAAAGGGCTCATACCAGCAGGTGAAATCAACCTCATCTCCTCCAAGGTGAAGATAAAAATCTGGGAAGACAGAGCTGATCTCCAGGAAGAATGTGCTCATGAACTCATAGGTATTGTTGAGACTGGGGTTCACTGGTCCAAAGGTGCCAGAGGGCCGAGACTCAGAGTAGCAAGGAGTCAATAACCCTGGGATACCTAAGCCAACAGAGAACCCCACATGAGTGTCAGAACCAGCCAGGCACAGTGGAACACACTTGTAATCTCAGATACTTGGGATACTGAGGGAGGAGGATCACAAGTTTGAGGACAGCTTGGGCAACTTAGTGAGACCCTGTCTCAAAAGAAAAGAAAAAGCCAGGTGTGGTGGGGCATGCCTGTAATCCCAGGCTGAGACAAGACAATCGCGAGTTCAAAGCCTGCCTCAGCAACTGTGAGGTGCTGAGCAACTCAGTGAGACCCTATCTCTAAAATAAAATATAAAATAGGGCTGGGGATGTGGCTCAGTGTTCCAAATGCCCCTGAGTTCAATCCCCAGTACCAAAAAAAAAAAAAAAAAAAAAAAACAGAAACAGGAAAGAAAAAGACCCATGTACACTCTAGTTCTACATGTAAGGACATTAAATCTCACAGAGTGAGACACTTTTGTTCATAAATGTCACACACAGGCATTTACAGGAACTGTAACCACCTATTCAGTCACAATCAAAGGAATATGAACATGTTCACAATCAGAGACAGGCTGGGTTACAACCAGACAACTGTTAATGGATACACTCTTGCCTCGACACACTGCTTCCAATAGAATTCACCCTTGCTCCAAATGGACATTTCTTTTCAAATGGCCTTAAGCAATAAAGGGGACCGAGCCTAATGGAGCCAAATTGGTACAATCTTTCCTATCTCCTCCTCTTTGTGGGATCAATTATTATGCATAATTCTACATTTCCTAAGGGGCATTTCTCTTGGCCCAGAGGCTTCCCCTCTTGGGGTTGAGACCAGGTGGCAGCCTCTTTCAAAATCTTCCTTTAACTAGGTTTTAGTTTGGAGGACTCTCTCTAGGGTCTGGAGCTACACAGAAAAAGAGAGTGAGCAGGAGTAGTAGCTATTTGAATGACCTCTGGAGGCCACCCCAAGCTTCTTTCTATCAGATTCTAATGAGATTAGATTCCTCAGTATTTGCTCTGGGGCACAACAATTTTGCATGGGGATCTGAGATGAATCTGCCCATATTTTAATAATAAAAAGTGGACTCCTTTGTCCATCCAAAAGTAAGTTCTTCCCTATCTAAATTCCCAGGTAAGAAAAGTTTATAGAAAACATTCTTCCAAGGACCACAACTGGAACATGCCACATCCTAGAGCCAATGCCCTGAAGCCCCACTCTAAGAACCATCAGAAGATTCCCTCCAATCCCAAACATTATTCTTACCTGGTCCCCAGGACAAAGTGTGGCCAGGAGTGTCAAATTCTACCAGCACACGGATACCCCGAAGCCGAGCATATTCAATTACCTCCTTCACATCCTGTGTTGTATAGATGTGGGTGACAGGGTTGTAGGACCCCTGGAAGGCATAAGATACACTTCAGATCTTATTTCCTGAAGGCTATCAGAATAGAAGATACTCAAAATGCTTCCACCACTCCCCAGATACCAAAACTATCTTCAAGAATCTTTATCATAATCCCCCACCATTATCACATCTACTGTTTTATCTGAGGACCATAATGCCAGTGAGATAAACAAGGTAGAGATTATTTCCATTTAACAGAATAAATATAAATAAAAAACAAATGAGGACAGCAAATTTTCTTCTGAAGGTCATAGAGCAAATTAATGGCAAAATTTGGACCGGAATCCAAGTGTCCTGATTCCAAAGCTACTGTCCTTTCCCTCTGTCAGTGTGTCTGGTTAGGATAAGAGCTATTGTCCTTGCCAGCAGGAGCTCCAGCCAGGCTCAGCCAGGGACCTATTATAAGCTTAGGCTGAGTGAAACAAGACATACCTTTCTGGTGAGCTCTGGAAAAGTGGTGCTCTCATATGGGAAGGAAGAGTCATCTACAATATGCCAGTGGAACACGTTGAATTTATTGTATGCCATGACATCCTGTAGGTCAGAGCACACACCATTAATCTATCACAGCCTCTCCGATTTCAGCCTCAAACTGGGCAGGTTGGCAGGCTACTCCATACACCCCAACAAGCCTCAACCTGCCCCAGCTTGCAGTGAAAGATTTATACAGCCTATCAAACCACCCCATCAGAAAGGGCCTGGCATGGAGGGGTGACTCAGAACATTTCTTCTTTTCCAAGACACAGCCAAAGACAGCTGAAAGATGAATTCTGGCCACATAGAGATGAACACTGTAACTACTATGGTAGCCCGTTATCTTCCAAAAGTCCCCATATAGTCTTAGGACCTACACTTACTTCTTCCTACCACATGCATTGGGTTATGTGACTTATGTTTATCAAATCATGATACCTGCCTGGGAACTTGGTTGCCCCCAAACTCATAAATCTAAGGCTTCTGAACCATGTGTCAACTCCTTTGGTTCCACCAGAGGAGGAAAGGAAAAGGCAGACCCATTAACTGGGTGAGCAATTGTTATCTAAGAATCCACATTAAACTCAACAGACTTAGGAACTTCCTCAGCTGAGGCTTCAAACACATCTTTCCTATGACTTCATCCTACATAAAGAATGCTGAGGAGCCAATTCCCTAAAACCCTCACCGTACTCTTGGAAACAGCCTGAACATTGGTTCACAGTAACCTGTGGCATAGATTTAAACCACTCATGATATTTTTTGAGTCTTCGAGCAGGTCACGTCTACATTTTCCCCAGGGGCTTCAAGAGTTACATATATTTCTCCCCTACTCTTTAGGAATATGGGACCTGATCAATCCCTTGCCCCATGGCTCCAGAATTCTATGCATGAATAAAGCCTTAAGGCTTGTGTACCAGTGTGTCCAGTATGCTAAACAGTGGCAGGTAATGTCGAGATGTATCCAACAGCAAACCCCGGTGAGGGAAGCGAGGAAAGTCCTCAATCTTCGTCTTGTTGACAAAGAACTGTGCAGACCAAACATTGAACATGTCAAAATTCAAAGGGATTATCCCAAGATCTCTGAAAAGCCAACCTATGAATAACTATAAGGATATTGTAAGAATAACTATGTCCCTAAACAATGCCCTCCACCAATCTCTATATCAAAGACCATAAGCAGCCACCTTCCCAGAGGTCAAACATCTCACTTAGCCAAATATAACTGTCCCATATACCAAATACAAGTGTCCCATACAGATTAGATTTTCCTGACTGTTAACTTGTTTATTTTTTTCAAAGCAATGTGGTATCAAGGTCACTACTAAATTGCTGGGAGCCATTAGCCAAGTAGGTATGACAATTTCCTTGCCAGCGTACCCCATGTTGCTGACATGTTGCAGTGACATTGAATGTAAGTGACCTTGCTCAAGGACCAAGGCAGATTAGGGTGTTCCCGGTTTTAAGATAATCGTGTTTAGGGCGTTCCCGGTTTAGGTTCCAGGTTTAAGGTTTAAGATTATTCCTGCTGGGAATAGGGCGTATCCTGCTGCCTGAGTTCCCCTTGAGTTCTCACGGGAGTCAGACAGTATATTTTGGAGATAGAAGCCCAGTGGAGGGGATTTGGGCAGAGAATGTGGATTTGGGAAGAGAACGTGGATTTCCCCAGAACGTGATTGTAGATGGCAGGTGTGAGTTCGGGAATAAAGAGTTGCTGTTTGAATCTACAAGCTGTGTGGTGGCTCATGATTGTGTGCCCAGCCAGACTGCGGCACTAAATGATTCAGAATAATACATTATAGTCACTCTAAATAGACCAATCTATCAAAAAAGTTCTCCATTCACATCTCCAATATTTATCCAAATCTACTAGGACCCCATCTAAATAAAAAAAAAAATCTTCCCAGGACTCTCATTATTTTCCAGGACTTTTGAGAAAATCCCAGAGTGCAAAAAGAAGCCCCCTACCCCCCCCCTTTTTATTTCTTAAAAAATTTTTTTAGAAGTAGTTGGACACACTAGCTTTCTTTTATTTACTTATTTTTATGTGATCCTGAGGATCGAACCCAGGGCCTTGCATATACTAGACGAGTGCTCTACCACTGAGCCATAATCCCAGCCCAGGGAGCACTTTTAAAGGGCCCATACTTACCGCGCCATCAGACGATCTCCAAACCACCTGGCTAAAAGTCTCCAGGCCTGTGGAGAAGTGGAGAGAGGGTGAAAATTTGGGGAGTCTTGGAAAGTTGTATGTAACTAAGGCAGAATATGATGTGTAGGCATAGGGTGAAAATGGATGTAGTGCAGGCTTCATGATTCTCAACACTTATAAAAAGGAGATACCAAGAAGTCAGTTTACATTTTGCTTCTGTATTTTATTTTGGAAGGAAGTTTCAGTGCCTTTCCATGCAACACACTAACTTTCAAAACTCATATACCACCTCCATATTTTCTGAGCCTTAAAGTTACAATAAGATGTAAGATGGGGGCTGGGGTTGTGGCTCAGCTGTAGAGTGCTCGCCTAGCACAGGCGAGACCCTGGGTTCAATCCCCAACACCACATAAAAATAAATTAAATAAAGATTAAAAAAATAATAATAAAAAGATGTAAGATGGCCAAGCCAGACTGCAAGGGGTTAAAGCTTTCCATGGATAAAGCCCATTAGGAGCTAAGAGAATAAAAAAAGAGGGACCCTGGTCTACTGGTCTTCACTTCTTTCAGACTGAATTATGAGAAAGTAATCATTAGATTGAGCTTCTAAGGAGCCTGAGGCTGGATCTGGAAGACAAGGACTCACTACTCTTCCTCTGTAGTGACTGAGACCAGCTGAAGTGTGCTGGGTGGCAACTGCCCCCCCAAAGGACTGCCTTGACATAGTCTCTTAGAGACCATCAAGGTGCAAGCACAGTGATTCATGTTCTCAACAGCTAAGGCCTCACTTATAGAAACCCACCAGAAACTCCATGAAGGATCTCCAGAGTCCCAAAATTTTGAAATGAAAGAATCCATAAGACCTTAGTGGTCAATCAGGACCTAATGTGAAGCTCATTGGAACCTATGATATGGGCCCCTCCCCACTCTGATACCCAGCACACTTTAGAGTCTGACATGCCCCTTCCCCAAACTAACTAAGGAACACCTTTAAAAATGTAGGAGAGGGCAGAGAAGGGAGTATGCTGCATCTCCAAAGAAGGGAGGAAAGGCAGTGTAATAAAGCCCAACTAAAACAAAGAATTCAGTGAGAATTACCTCATATTCACTGGCAGAGGCTTTACCAAAAGTAGTAGAGGCACCTGGCTAAGTATTTGTCTAGGGACCAAACACCTTCTCAGTAAATCTAGAGAAAGGGTAGGGGCCTATCACCTATAGGCTGGTAAGCCTTCATTTTCTCCAGAAATAATATTGCTCTACATATTTTAATACTACCTTTTACCTGTATATATTTCTTTTGTTATTAGTCCCCCCACCACACACACACACACACACACCTTTTTTTTTTTTTAAGAGATGGGGTCTGGCTATGTGCAGGCTGGCCCAGAATTCCTAGGCTCAAGTGATCCTCCCACCTCAGCCACTTGAGTGCTGAGATTACAAGTCCATGCCACTGCACCTGGCTTAGTTTTCCTTTTTAAAGACCCTTTCCAGTCATATGCCTGGAGTGAGAGCTGGACAGGTAGTTTTGGTGATAGTACTGCTTACTCTCATAGCTAGCTGCCTGTCCCCTGCACTCTCCCCCTGTACTGTGCCACACGGGATGAAGCCTATCAGCTTCTGGACGTAGCAGCAAGGAATGGGGAAACTCCAACTGTCTCTATAAAGAAAGCCATATTGGGAGTATTCACTGGGCCCCAGTCCTGTTCTCCCATCCCATCAACTTCAATATTCCCACATCATTCTCTCACCCCCATCTCTTTCTCTTTCCTTAATCAGCCCCACCTTGTTACCTCGGAGAGCTCCCCAGACACTATGAGAGACGAGTAAAATCCGCTTATCATTTATGGTCAGGGTGTCTGAAATGACAAAAATAATTCATTTGGTGGTTTACTCAGACTATAGACAAGATGGTCTATATAAATCCTTGGTTAAAACAGAAACAAAAACAATAAGATCACTTTTTTTTTTTTTTTAATCTTTCAGAGAGGTGCAAAGCCCCTGGCAGGCTGCTGAAGGGTGGTCACCATAGTGGCTCTGCAGGCCCTGGCAGATGATGCATGAAGACAGTCAGGCTTGAGCAGAGTTCTCTGCAAGCAACACCCAGCTTGTGGGTCATTTTCCCCTAACCAAAACATGAGGTCCTGTTAGCCTCCAGCTGAAGGTATGATATCTCCTACCAGCAAAGGGGATAGGGCTGTTTGAAGGGGCAAGTCCAGCATCCAGCATTCCCAAAGCCTTTGTTTCCCTTTTTCTCTAGACTTCAACTACTTCGTCTAAGAATGTGAGAAAGAAGCAAAGACTCAAATATTCACTTTGGAAAGGTTCCCAATCTGCTGCTCAGGAAAGATAGGAGGCAGTCATAGGACTAATGACGTAGCTTTGTTTCAGCATACACAACCCAAAACTCTGGCACAGTCCTCAAAAAGTAATGTACCCAGTCCAAAGGTAAGTGTCCTATGGGACTCAGTGAAGAGCTAGTGCAACACTCTGCAGCCGACCTTTAAGTACTGGTTAGAGGTTCATATGAGAAAAACTCATCTTCTATGGCTTTTGGCACTTCAGGTCATGAGAAGCTTAGGTCAGGACATCTGGAATCATATCTCCAGACAAGTGCCTGCTCTTTAGGACATGGGGCAGTGTGGTACTTACAGTTCTCCAGTGACTCCAAAGTAGGAAAATCAGTACATCCCGCTGTGCTCACAGAGACAACCAACTTGTTCTTCTTTATTTTCTCCTGTTTTTCTGCAAAAAAAAAAACCAAAGTAAACAGTATGGCTGACTTGCCACTAGCAACAACAGGTAAAAACCAAGACCCTGCAGAAGGGTTCCTAGCTCTAATCCCTCAACTCACATACTGAGGTGACAGGAAAGGGAAGATGTGATATTCACCCATGGAGTTGTCCCTTTCTGGTCATGTTCAACTTTTGTTCTGGTTGTGCTTTTTTCCTCCCCAGTAACCCACCCCGACTCACACAGGAATGATTTAGGTGGTAGTTCTAACTTTGCCTAGACTGTGCCAAACACACAATTCCAAGGCCTCAAAAACTGCTTCTCATCAAGCTGCAGCTCAACATCTGGTCTTCCTTCACATTGGCACAGACAGACCTCCCACACACAGGGCACACAGAGAATGCAGCTGATGCCTCAAAGAAGGCCCATGATCACCAGCCCAACCTGTTTTCTTCCCCACCCTTCCCAAACAGATTCTCTATCCAAGGCAGACTTCTGCTCAACACGAAAGCCACCAAATATGAATTAACATATCATAGCTCTACAGACCCCAGTCTATGCAGAAAAAAATGCCATAGTCAAAATGTGCATCTCTTTCTACCCTCCTATCAGTTTTCTGTGATTTTTTTTCTGTGATTCTGATTTTATTGTGCCAAAATTAATGGGTCCCCTCCCTATTCTTTCCTGAAATCATATGTACACCACTGGTAGCACAATATCCATGACTTTCTCTGGAACTACAAAGTAAGGAATAGATGGTCTGGAAGAAAGCAGAGAGAGAGACTTCAGAACCAAACCAGAATCCCAATTTTACCCATCTCCAAGCAGAAGAAAACTGGGAGCCTCCGAGCATCTCAAGGAAGCCAGCTCAAAGCTCCTGAGCATTCCCATATGGATGCAATTCAGCTCTCACATCTGCCAAGAATCAAGCCAATAAGGAATCCAACAATGCCTGCCTAAACCCTGCAGGGAGATGGGAATTTGAGGCAACTCTGGGTATGGCCAACTTTTATCTACATCCTAATCCTAAAAATACATCCCCTCTTCATGCAAGGACAACCAGGTTCTCAGGCCTCAGAGACTGCTCTCAAGGCAGAATCAGTAGGTTCATTGTAAGTACCCCAAATCAGACAGAAAACCTCTCCAAATCCATTGCAACAAATTCTGAAAACTGAGGACTTAATCTGGAGGCAGGGGCAAAGAAAACTATAAACGAATCCTTCTCCTTAAACTATATATGCCCCTTGCCTCCTTGGCACCCCTTTAACTGAGCCCATCTGGGAGCCTCAATATCACTGTGTGGATATATCTCTGGCAGCCATCCAAAGAGGGCAAAAGTCCTGAGCTTTTCTGTTAATCCTCTGGGCCTTTGTCTGCCAAATAAGGAGAAATCCCAACTCATCCACATGCAACTACCATGGTCACTGTCCTGAGGACAAAACAGGAGAGGATGCACAAACAGCAGGATTATCCGAACTATTACTTGGAACATAGGAAAATACATTTTTTTTTTATATTATCTTTTAATTTTTCTAAAACACACCTGCACTCTATTCCTTAGGTCTATAGTCCTAGATCACAGATTTTTTGGATGATCTGAAGGATATGAAAGCACTTTTTTTCCAGAATGATACCACTATGGTAAAGAATCCTGTCCTAAATGCTCTCAGTGACTCATGTGGCTGTTAAAGAAGTATATTCAGAGGCTCAGCTGCTGCTTAGATAAACTATGAGAGAGAAGATTTGAGGGAGGCAGCAAAACAGGAGGGACACTGGGTCATCTAAAAGGATGTAAATAGAGTATCATCACTGTGGTTTTCCACCTCGTTGTTGCCACTGTACGAGCTCTGAAGAGAGCAGGAAATAGGCAGGGGCCAGCCAGCTGCCTCTCCACACACTCACACCCACACCCGTGCACTGAGAACTGAAGTGTGGGAAGTGAGGTATGGCAAACAGCCCGCTGAGCGGGCAATCACATGCACACATGCACCGTGGACCCACTGGGACAGCAGGGAATTCTAAAGCCTCGGATGCTGAGGAACAGAGTAGTGGGCTGGGAAATCAGGAAAGGCTGGTCTGGTTCTGGTTCTGCTACTACCAAGCCGAGTAAGATTCAAGTTTCAGGACTTCCATTTCCTGTCCTGTAAACAATGGCAGGGTGGAACAAGATTCCGTCTACTAAAACCTCGTGACTCCAGGTTCCATTTCATGATTACAGCCTCCTACCTCTGCAGCTCACTCATCTCCCAGCTTTTATCTAAACTCTTTCTCTTTAAGAGGGAAGGGGAAGGTAGAGTTTCCATTGAAAAGTTTGCATTTTTTTTTTTTAAATTAAAAAGGTAGGGGCTATGGTTGTGGCTTGTGGTAGAGCGCTTGCCTAGCAAGTGAAAGGCACTGGGTTCAGTCCTCGGCACCACATAAAAATAAATAAATAAATAAAGGTATAAAAAATGTTGTATCTGATTAAAAAAAAAAGGTAGTACTCACTAGTTGAAAAATTCAAACACTACACAAGCATTTACAATAAAAAATAAACAAAAGTATCTCTGTCATCCTTTGTTAGTCTTCTCAGTGTGGAGATAACATGCCGTTCATTCTATGCCTGTTCTCCATTTTTGGCATAATTCTGCCTTCCTCATCATAGACAGGTCATCTTTGGACATGGAATTCTGAGAACAAGGACTCTCTTATTATTAAAGTCCCTATAGAACTTTCTCCAGACTATAGTGTACAACTCTTCAAGTCCTTTCTGTCTTTAGTCCTCTCTCAGCCTCACATAACTTCCTGTTGGCCTAGATGTGGACATCCATCACCTCAGATGCAATCTAGCCAATACTCTTAACAACCTGTCTTAGTTTCACTTATATCTAGTGTGTAAAACCCTCAACCCTGGATCAATCTAACCTCTGCCTTCTGTGCCCCCAAATCCTGGCTACTACTAGCCCTATCAGAGGGAAGGAAAAAAACAGAATAGCAGGATTGGGTCACTGTAAAATCATGGTCTCCCATCTTGGCTGGGCCCTCAAGGCTGCCCTGAAAATCTTTTATCACTTTTTTTTTTCTATTTTCCACAATAGCTATTTCAAGCTTGTACCACTTTCCTCAAGTTGATCCCCAATTTCCTTAGTCCTAGCAGATAATTAAAAAATAACTCCCATCCAGATTACCTTCTCCCTTCCCCCAAATATCTGCAACACACACCTGTCTTAACCTTCTCCTCCCCATCTTGATGAAAGAGGTCTCCTTTTACCTGTGCTCTGGACCTCTCCTCAGGTTCCTCTTGTATAAATTATTTCTCTTTTTTCCAAAGTCTTTGAATTATTTCTTTCTACCAATTCTTTCCCATCAGCATTAAAATCTTTACAGTGTTCCTGGTCTCAACTGTAGTTCATCTCAAACATTCACCCCTTCTCTCAACTTCCAGTCACAAAGAAACTCTAGAAGAAATGTAGGCCTGGGCTGTTGGAAGCTGAACTTCAAGGACAGACAAATCTGAAATCAAATCTTGGTCCTAACAATTCTGGTTGTGGGACCCTGGGCAGGTTATTTACTCTCTGAGCTGTAGTTTCCTCATCTGTAAAATGGGACTCATGATAGTACCTACCTTACTGCGCCGCTGGGGAGATTAAATGAGTTAATATATGTAAAGTGCTTAGTTCAGTGTCAGGCACAAGGTAAGTGCTCATGGACGTGGTCATTCTTTGTTTTCTCTTTATAGCCACACTTCTTTACATCCTATGTACCCCTCAATCTGTTATAATCTGACTTCCCTTGCCACCACTCCCATGAAAATGGCTTCACTAAAATTCTGTGGAATCTTTCCAACTCATCCAGTCATTCATTCAACAGCTATTTATTGAATGTTTACTATGTGTCAAGCTTATTTCTAAGTGCTGGGGATATAGCAGTGATTAAAACAGACAAAATTCTCTGCTGTCAGAGAGCTAATATTTTAGACACCATTCACCACTTCTGGGATCTCTTGGCAGCATAAGATACTGACAAACTCACTTCACTAGAGGGACACTGTTCTCTCTTGATTTTCCTTCTTCCTCTTTGAATATGCTTCCTCATTCTCTTTTTCCTTCACCAACCCCTCTGTGCTGGTGTTCTCCAGGGTCTCTAGGCTTCCAGATTTCTTTTTCTCCTTACTTACACTTTCCTGGGAAATGCCATCCACTCCCACAGTACTCTGAAGTCCCAAATTTATCTTTTCAAGCTAATTCTTCTGGAGCCCTAGACTTGGTATGCTTCTGCTCAGCTTATCTCAAATGCACCCTGAATCTTAAAAACAAATACAAAAAAAAAACTCTTCTTTCTTTTCTCACTGGCTGATCCTCTCTCTTGCTTTGATAACAAAACAATCTATTTACCCAAACAAGAAACCTCCTCCTTCTACCACACTTTCCACCTGAGTAGATCACAAATTCATTCACTCAAAATAATATTTATAAACTGTCTTCCAATGTGTCAAACATTGCTGAGCAGTAAGATTTCAACAGTAAAAAAGACTCAAGTCATGTTTACAAAATACTTATTATCTGTTTTCTTTTTTCCTGGTGGTGCTAGGGATTGAACTCAGGGCCTCACACATGCTAGGCAAGCCAAGTACTCTACCACTGAGCTATAGCCCCAGACCAAATCCTTATTTTCTCAACACATCCCACTTCCCCTGCCCCTATTGGGCCAAAGATTTAACTTAGCATCTTGAAATTTCTCACCTGGATGACTATAAAACGTCTCCCAGGTGATCTATCTCTGCCTCCATCTATACCCCATTTCACTCTACTATCCACTAGAGTGTTTCAACATAAAGATCAGATTATAACAGCCTCTGCTTAAAACCCTTCAATGAGCAGGCACAGTAGCACATTCCTGGATCACAAGTTCCAGGACCCTGTCTCAATAAAATGAGGGCTGGGATTGTGTCTCAGTGGTAGAGCACTTGCCTAGCATGTGTGAGGCACTGGGTTCGATCCCCAATACCACATTTAAATAAACAAATAAATAAA